AGCCTCCAAATAAGTTATGCTCACAGGTTTTCCGTTGAAGGTTAATCGTCGCTGTTTTTCCAGGTGTACTGTAATGGTCGTGCTGTCGGCTATTCTGTGATGACATCTTTCAAACCGCCGCCAGAGGAAGGAGATAGATCACGAAACACACTCATACAGTCTTGGGGTGAATGGCTAACATTGCCAGTGAGGTGGGTTTTTCCAGTTCAAAATTCCGGTATTGACCGTTTCTCTAATCAATTTGACGCCATCCATTTGTTCGCTTTCGAATGTGTGCAACAGAACGGATGGAATATGAAATGCAGTTTGCTATAGACTAAAAGCCCTGGAGTTTCATGACATTAGTCAAACGTATATCCGTATTACAGTTTTGCTCGCTGTGGATGATGGCACGTGCCATTGAGACAGGGTTTGGCACGTTGCCAGCCGGTTGCCAGTTGCTGAAGTGGGTAAGGGGGAACAGTTGATGGAAAACGACCTCTACGAACAATATGATACGGACTTGTCGCTCTCTGAAAGAGCAAAAAAATGAAGGAAACGAGCTGGCGTCCCGTCAAATTCATCCCCTGACACAATCCATCATTCGCAGCAAACAAAACTGTACTTCTTTATTGGTGTCGATTGTTCCAAAAGTTTATAGTCAACTTTTCTACCATCCCTTCATCCACGAAAACCATTTGGAATCCTTACTTAAAACATGTTTTTAGGTATTGTGACCTTAGCCGTGACGCATTCATACATTTCTCGATTTGGGAACTAACCTCTGGAACGGAGTCACTAACCCTGTTCCCACACGAGGAGAAAAGAGTTTCTTCTGATGGCGTTCCACAGCCGTTGCCCAAAAGACTCATTGCTCAATCGTCCCTTCCATTATTCAGTAAGAGAGGAGTGCTGAAGTCAGGAACGCTAGATGTTCAGGTGAGCTCATTTTGAATAATTTCCATCTATGTATTATTTCTTGTTTTTTTTCATCTATTATCGAAAGACGCAGTGCCGAGTGATTGGTTTTCTCGAAAGACTTCAGTGGCTCAGCACTCACTCTGCGCCACGGGGAGCAATTCTTACCCACTCAGCTTGATGGCTCGATGATAGCGCACTCATACGGTCGTGTGAGATCCGGCTCAGAATCCCACCGGGGTCTGACTTCCCCTCCATAACTCAGCGTTATTACTATAGCATTCCGGAGCGCGAACCGCGGGTTAAAGAGGGAAAAAAACCTCATTGCCGTTCTTACTGTGGAATTTCACACATCAGTGGGGCCGAATTTCTCCTCTTCTACCCATCACACTTTGCCC